AGCGTTATATAATTGGTAAGACTAAAATTATTATGATGATACAGGATTTAAAGGAAATAAACTACAAGGAAAGATCAAAGAAGAACTCTGATATTCTTTATATATTAGAGGATCACTTAGTCGTGTTTTAAAAACCACACACATACAGTATATATGATATATAAATCATACATATATCTAATTAAAATTATAATGGTTGCCTATAAGCAAGACAAAACAAGGCTGATTTATTAGAAAAGTATTTCAGTTGTTCATAAGCTTTTTAGAAGACTTAGAATTTAATTGTCTGGGAGGAATTTGAAGGCTAATTTTCTTCCTCAGGCTTGCTTTTTGCAAAGTTTCAGCAAAATGATCAAAAGGTTTCTTCCAATTAGTTTAAGGAAATTACATTGTTTTTCATCTGAAAGAAGATCAAGAATATTCTATTTGGTTTTAAAGAAATGCATAAAACTTTGTGACATAGACACGAAGATCAGAAAGATGTTTAGGAGTGAGCGGTGAATTTTGCTATTCTGCAAAACTTGTACTAAAGTTGCTACCTTTGAAAACTTCATTTTGTATATGTACAGTCATGGCTTGTGTTCTGTGTGTAGGTCCTATACATACTCTGTACAGAGACAAGCCTGAGTATGACCCATCCCTAAAAATTTGAATAGCAGAAATTGTTACAGTGAAACAGGATATGGAAGTGGCCAAAATGGTGCTGAAGTCAGAAGCAGGAGGGTTTTATTTTTTCTTGGTCTTTCCTTCAGTGGTATTTGACTAAGAGAGGAGAGAATCTTAGATGTGATTGATGAAAAGACTGAAGAGGAGCTATCTCAGACTGGATAGAGAAAAGCAGGCACTCTGTGATAATTGGATACAGAAGATGAAGGTTTCTAAAGCTGGTGTGGATGAGCCAAATCCAGATATGTTGTAAAGATAAGTACTTCATAGATGATGCTGAACTGTGACTCAGAAAAGGAGGATGGACAAAGATGCACATAAAAATAATGATGAAAAATGTTAATTTTTATATTGTCAAACAATTTCATGTTTCATTTGTAACCTCACTGGATTTCCTTTCCATGTTCATTTACCATAGTTTACCCTCTTGCATTTTAATGGGTGAAAAACCACAAATTTGGAGAAAGATTTCTAGTTAAATTTAAATTTGTACTTTTAGATGTATCAGTAGGCTTTGGCTCAGAAATGTTTTCACTAGAAGCAAAAGGTTACAACAACAAATTTGCATGATATCTAATTGAAATTACAATTTATTCATTACATTTGTGATTAACTCTTGATCAAAGAGAAAAATTATTGGTCTTCATATCTTTTCAGATGCAATGACAAGTGTGCACAACAAATTCCATGCATAGGAAAATGTAAACATGGGAACAATAGTACATATTAAGGTAATCCTGTGTGTAGGACATCATCCTGACATAGTGAGGAACCAGAAGAATGAAGACACCTCATTGAACTGTTGTCACAGGAACAAATAATAGAATCACAGAATTATTTAGTTTGGAAAAGACCTCTGAGATCATTGAGTCCAATCTTTGACTGATCACCACCTTGCCAACTAGACCATGGCACTAAGTGCCATGTCCAGTTGTTACTTGAACACTTCCAAGGATGGTAATTCCACCATTTCCCTGGGCAGTAAATAACCCTTTCCATGAAGAAAGAGATCATCCTTCTGATGTCCAACCTGAACCTCCCCTAGCGCAGTTTGAGGCCTTTTCCTCTTGTCCTGTCACTGCTTGCCTGGGAGAAGAGACTGACCCCCACACTGCTATAACCTCCTTTCAGGAGAGAAAGGAGAGTGATAAGGTCACCCCTGGGCCTCCTTTTCTCCAGGCTAAACAACCTAAACTCCCTCAGCCAGTTCTCATAGGACTTTACCTTCCAGATCCTTCACCAGTTTTGTTGCCTTTCTCTGAACTCACTCCAGCACTGCAATGTCTTTCTTGGAGTGAGGGGTCCAAAACTGGACACGAGATTTGGGGTGTGGCCTCATCAGTGCGAAGTACAGGGGGTGATCACTGCCCTGGTCCTGCTGGCCACACGATTTTTGATACAGGCCAGGATGCCATTGGCCTTCTTGGTCACCTGGGAACACTGCTGGTTCATGTTCCCTCAGTTGTTAACCAGCACCCCCTGCTCCTTTTCTTTGGGCAACTTTCCAGACACTCTGCCCCCAGCCTGTAGTGCTGCATGGGGTAGTTGTGGTCAAAGTCTAGGACACAGCAATTGGCCTTGGCCCATTGATCCAACCTTTCCCTTTGCAGAGCCTTCCTATCTTCCAGCAGATCAAAACTTCCACTCAACTTGGTGTCATCCATGAATTTATTGATCCCCTTGTCCAGATCATTGATAAAGATATTAAACAGAATTGGCCCCAATACTGAGTCCTAGGGAACACCACTTGTGATGAGCCACCAACTGGAACAATAATGACAGTAATGTTGTCCAAAACAAGAAACTATTTTGTCTTCATTAAGAGACAATTAAATTATTCAATTATAAAATCTAATGCATCCTTGTTTTCTTTAAAATATTACTCAAAAGAAGACAATATAGACAAGATACCAAAATTGAAAAATGAATTTTTTGAAACATAAAATAATTTTCAAATACATCTAACCTTGCTGAATTCACATTTTTCCGTCACATTACCCTGATTAGAATGCTTTCTTTGTTCATGATTGAAGCAATGAGAGTTAAAAATTTTCATATGTTAATATTGAAATAAAGATAAGGAAAATATCCAGTTCTCTATCATTTACAATTTTTGTTTGTGTTGATGACTAATCATCTATAGCAAGTGAGATTTTGAGATTTCCTTTATTGTTTGAGGTTTTACTGGTATCATGTGATGTTAAACCTTATTAAATATAAGTTTAGATTTTTTAAAACAGATATTATGATGGTTGTGAGTGCCATAGTTCATTTAGTATTTTTTCTTCCATGTATTTTCAAACTGCAGAGGTTTCTTTATGCCTTATTCTGAATGAAACAGGATGAATGAAAGAGGACCATTAATACTTAGTGTGGATGGAAGTCACAACTGACAAGAAACTTCAAATTTTGAGCATCTAGTAATTTTTGTGAATTCCCAATTCAACTAAAAAAATTTAAAAAATTACTTTACAAAATATATATTATTTACAAAAATTATAAATTACATAAATATCAGGGAAAATATTTCCAGATATCAGCAGTTCAGTCCTTGAAACCAGGACATCACAAAATTTAAATGTTGGTATGATGGAGGGGAAAAGGCTTGGTTTAGAAATGGGAGAATTCTTTGAAAATAATTGGAGAGATTTATCCTTTAAATATTTATTGTGTAATGTATTTTATGAATTAGCATGATGCAAGATTTTATTAAGTTGTGTTTTGTATTGAAAATTTTGCAAGTTTCTCAGGATTTAGAGGTTTGCTGTGATTGTTTAGTGCAGGCTTAACTGATTGTTTACAAGGGGATTAATGAAATGGAGAACAGCTTTATGAAGGTATTCCCCTGCCAATTCTTACAAGGCTGTAAATACTTTAATTTATAGAGCTCTGGTTAATATTTATACTTTAGGAAATTAATTTATGTTAAAAATGCCACAGGTAACTGTATTCTTCTGCAGCTATTGAATCTCTGGGCAGAGTTTTCTAAAGATTCACGAGATGTTAATCTTTTGTATAGTTCTGACATGGGGTTATAGATACTATACGTTTTTTCTCCTATACCATGGCTTTTTTATAGATTGTTGCTAGAGAAGAGAGTAATAAAACCCTTCTGTCTTCAGTTAAATATTATAACTTTGACAACAACTCAGCTAAACAAGCTGTCATCTTTATATTGAAACCTTTAATTTTGTTTACCCGGTTTAGATTATACAGTGACAGACTGGGGCTGTATAGACTTTGGCTGTATAGACTTTGGCTGTATAGACTTTGGCTTAACATAAGAGATTACTGCTAGGTTACAACCCTGCAAGCCAGGCTAGTAGCAATGAGCAGCACTGCTGTGGTGTCTAAGACTTTATCTGTCACACCTGCACTTTGGAGGGTGGCTAGAAGAGCACCTGCTTTTACTCCTTTCAAGCCTTTCTATCTGTAAAAGAAAGCTTAGTAGGGACTGATAGTTCTAAATAAGCTTTTAAAATAAGTAGAAGAAAACCATGAATGTTCAGGTATATGCAGATGTGAAAGAAGAAGGGGGAAAAGTGCTTTCTGAGGCTCCAAAGTCACTTGCAATTGACTTGGAAGTTTTCTACTTGAAGATTAAAAAGCTTCATGCGGAGGACTTATTTCTTTTTACTTTTACTCCGATTTAGCTTTCTAAAATGTCTTGTAAAAATTATTTAGTGCTACAGGTAGGAAATATTGAAAATCGTAGGTTGTACAAATTCTCTAAACATAAAAAAAAACCCAGTCCCTTTAAACAACACCCTATTCATACTAAAGGGTCTATGAACACTGAAGATGTATCAGCCATGTTACTGCATTACACAAATTGTTCAGATGACACTTCAGTGAAACAATTGGCTGCTTTTAGTAATCTGGTGATTACGAAGCATAATTCCAAGAAACATCATAGCTTTGAATTCTGTCACAGTGATTTAGATGGAGTACATAATGAGACTACAAGGCACCTATGGAGAGCTATTCAATAGCACTACAGTTCAATGTTTGAGGACTACTTTGTTGTAACTAAATTAGTGACTATAAAATCAAAACCATAGAGATCTGATTTATCTATATGCAGAAAGAAACATTATGGGCTGTTAGCAGTATTTTTCTTGTTAATAGTCAAGACATTAATAATAAGACCTGTTGTCTTTAGGGAGAATTACGAATGCTTTTATAATCTCTTCACACACTGATAGGACAAACTGTGTCATCACTTTCATGAATATTGCATTAGACACCTAACGTCTTGGGATTTAATAAAAAAAATCACATGTGTCTCTAAAGGAATAGATCTGGAGAATGCAAACTTTGTCTGATCAGAGGCATCATGGTGGGTAATGCTGGTAGGTAAGCACTACAAGACTCCCAGGCTCATGCGGTAAATCTACTTTCAGGCTTGGGTAACAAAACCTGAAAGATAGATGAGAAGATTATAAAGACATAAAAGAAGAAGCAGCAAATGCGAATGGACAGAACATAAAAATATATTGTTGCATTTCTATTCTCCTCTTTTTATTTTCTTTAATCTAGGGCAGGGTTGTAACTCTCAAGGAAAAGTTAACAAAAAGAACCCCTGTTAACAGGTGAGAGTTCAGGTTATAAATAAAGGCTGTTGAGATGAAGTATGAGGAAACATACACTAGAAAGACTTAACAGCTGCTAGAATTCTACCCTAAAAGATGAATAATAAAGGCAAGGATTTTGAATAGTTTCCAGTTTTAAAGGAGAATTACAATTTTTTTAAATAACATTTCAAAATAAAAAGACCTCCAGGAACAGCTTGTATGTTTTCATTTCTCTTGTCTAAGTATTATAAAATATCCAATTAGTGATCTGAGTGTCATAAAGTCCCAAAGTCCTATACCAGAGTCACCACGGAGTATTCTGTATCAGTGTAGAATATGTAGAGTCTTCTATATTTTGAAGAAAATAATGGCTGCATCATTCCACAATGAGCAGGCAGATAAGGCTGCCAAGATTGGAATAGCCCAGGTAGACTTCAACTGGAAGCGGAAAGGTGAGCTATTTCTAGCCCAATGGGCACATGAAACATTAGGACATCTAGGAAGAGATGCAACATGCAGATGGACTTGGGATCGAGGGATGAACCTGAACATAGAGGCCATCACACAGGTTATTCATAAATGTGAAACGTGTGGCAATTAAGCGAGACATGCGAGTAAAATCTCCCTGGAATAGATGGTATTGGCTGGATTTCCAGTATAGTGAGGCCTGGCAAATTAACTATATTGGATCACTGCCATGAACACACCAAGGTAAGAGCCTTGACTCCTATTCCTAGTGCAAGCTGGGTATTTTGCCTTCTCTAGTGCATAGCAAGGCACACATTCCTGGAAAAATCTTATCCATTCTTTTTTTCTGTAAAAACAAATGAGAGCAAAAAAATCTCAAGTCATCACATGATTTAGACAAGTGTTCAGGTTCTAAAAAGGAAGCATGTCAATCTCGACAAAACTAGACAGAAGCCCAAAAATTAATAGAGGTATTGGTAAAAATTGTCCCAACACAAACAGATTAGTAATAATTGTAACTGTTTAGCCATATGAACAGCTGACCTTGTTTATATCGAATAAGTAAATTCTTGCCCCTTGAGAAGTACAAGAGAACTCCCGGGGATCTGCATTTGGACAAGATCTGCAAGACTTTGCTGATAATTATTTCTTTAATGCTTTGTGAATAGTGTACAATTTTTGACTCATTAGCAGATTAGAAAATGTGTTATGCCTATTTATTGTTTTTGTGTTCTTCATTCTTTTTTAATTACAGAAGTGGTAAACAGAACTACATAATATTGGAGAGTTTAAAAATATAGCACAACTTTCCACTGGATTTCACTGGAATTTTCCACCAGAGTAAAAAATCAAGATCTTAACACTTATGCTGGATTAGAATTTGTGATAAAACGAACTAGGACAACTATATTAGCAGTTTCTAAAATTGTGTCTTGACAGAACTAAAATTTTAAAGAACCTAAAGAGCTGAATGTTAGTCTATATAGATATATGTGTTAAAGGAAAAGACAGTTAATTAAAATCAATTGTCAGAACTCTGACTTAAGGTATGGTGACATTTTCAAATTCCAGAAATTTTTCTACTTAACTTCGCTGCATTTAGTTAGATAAATAAATACCCATGATATACTCCTATCTATAAGTGCTGTTAAAATCTATGAACTACAATAAATACCAATATGAATAAGCAATTAGTAAAGGCTGTAACCAAAAAAATCTATCCAACAACCAAGCAAGAGACTTATACACTATATTAATTCATTTTTTCCTGTTTTAAATACCTTCATTTTTTCCTATACTATAAATTTCTGTCAAAGGATATTTGTTGACTTTTGGCATAATTCTGTGTAAAATTCTGTTGGTCCTGTTTGTTTAACATGTATGATATTCTAGAAAGCTTATGTTGAAGGTGTTATACTTAGATTAAGAGCTGGATGTTGTGGATCAAAATGCGATTCACGTAAAAGTGATAGATGTATGATATACAGCTACATTATTCGAGAACTTCCAAAGCTCATGATAGCATATTTTAAATACTGATGCTACTTTACATGGAAATTGTATTTGCAATATACCGTCATTGGAGCTATCTCACAAAACTGTTTTGCGGATTATAAATTTGAAATCCATAGATTCCCTCAGACTCCAGTTCAGTAAGGACATGTCATTGACTTTTGTGGGAATGTTCATGCTTATATTTAGATATGATCTGTGAAACTGCTTATGCTTGCCTTTAGATGCATACCTAACTACATGGCCAAGTAAGAAGCACAAAGGACAAATAATGCACTTTGAGAATGATCTGTGAATAATACAGTGGAAGGACTCACACTGATTGTTATTTTTGGGATTAGGTTTCATCAATTTTTATGGGCAAGAGGGATCATAGTGTGAAAATGCATTGTTGTATAGCCTTTTTTTTTATTAATTAAGTTCAGACAAACCATCTGTTCTCTTGGCTTAAATACAAACCACATGTTCTCATATATTAATGATAGAGGAAATATGAGAGACTTAAATGTTCTTTTACTTTAAGAGTGAGTTACAATATCCCTGTTTTGTCAGGGATTATTATTTTAAATGCTTACTTTACATTATATTCCTCTTAAGAAATACAGTTCAGTCATTTAAATCACTGTAATATGAGCAACTCAGTCTTAGTGAGGTTTTATATTGCGTAAGCATAAAGAGTTTCAGTATTGGTAATCTCCTTGGACATTTTTTATTCAATTTTTTTATTCTTTCTATTTGATTGTTATGGTATTGTAAATTGAGTTGTCAGTGAGATTCCTGACGCAGTCCTGTAGTAGGTCTATGTCTTCATTTTATCATGCAAAAATAACAACAGAAAACAAGGTGGTGCTTAAGGGGGAAACAAGAAACCGCATCCATTCTTAAGTGAGAAAATATCAAAAGAGGAATTCTAACATTAATGTTTTACCATTTTACCGTAACCATGGATAAAACATAAGGTACAGAAAAATATTAGTTGTACTTTGCAGGAGTCACAAACATCTTTCAAGATACTTTACTGTATAATAAGATTGGTTGATACCTTTAAAAATTATATGGTTTGCTTACAATATAAAAAGCAGTGATTTGCATCTAAACAGATGTGCATGCATTGGTTAAGTTAGGCTACAATACCTATGGATGAATGTTTCTTGCTTGTCTACAGTGTATGAGGAAGCAATTTTAATAGGCAAAATTTGAAAAACATGGACCTGAAATGGCAGCATTTGTGGAACCACTGGGCATGAGAAATGCATGTATTGAGAATGAATTTAATTCTGCTAATCTCACATGACCATAACAATGACCATTTACACTTAAATGATACACTTCATCTAAAAAACAATTTAATTTAACTATTGCTGGTATGTTTTTTCACAGTTGTTCAAGCTGGTGAAAGCTATTCTCTTCCCTCACAGAAGCCACACCAAATAAATAATACTAATGTGATCCTGCAGTGCACCCTCAGTCATTAAAACATATTTAACATTTATTTAGTCATGTTTTTGTTCCTGACACAAGCTTGAATTCTGTGTTAGATTCTGTCCACTTTCTTTGCAGCCCTGGCAATGCACAGAGTAGATGAGGAGAAAATAGGATGTGTTTTTGACATCTCTCTATTCATAATTGATGAAATCTTAATTAGAGTCCCATAAAACAGGTGTACATGTAGTCTACTTTTTCCTAATAATAGTGGAAATCTGATGGATCATTATGATTGTAATCTCTCTTTTAACAGCAGTCAAAGTTTTCACTGAATTTCTACTCAGCATTTGCATCTTACTGCACTATTCCAAGTAAGTTTGATGTATAATCTACTTTATCCTTGATCAAATATTAAAAAGGTTCTGAAAAATGCATTAGTGTTATAGTCTTCCTTAAATCAAAAAGATAAGTCAATAATCATCATAAGCCACTGACATCAGAGAAGAACAGCTTCCAGGCTCTTTGTTTGAGATTTCCCATCAATAATATTGAATGTTTCTTTATTTATTAATTTCTGACTATCAGTCTGAAAGATACACTCACTTGTACTATTTTCCATGATGTACGTTGCTGTGGTGTCATTGTTCTGATATCTGAGACTTGAAAGAAAGATCCAGTGGGTAGTTCCAACTTTCCAAAAGGAGTTACTGGCATCATGTAGTGATGATAAAATTGCATTTGGAAGTAGCTACTATACATACAAAGCAGGCAATTTCATAATATTCCTACCTCAGCTCAAGTGTTATCACCTAACAAAGCACAGTGAAAGTGCTTTCTGTAGGCAATATGTGTTCTTTTGCAACATTGCTGTTATCAATGTTCTGCTGTCCCAGATCTCTGATGAAGCGCAGTTTTAAGAACATCTACCAAGTTGAAAAATGATGTGTCAATATCATCCACGTTCTGAATTTAAGGGGATTAGTTTTGAAAGGTCTAAGTCATAGCAAAACACATAGCAATTTAGAATCCAGACATTCATGTGGTCTAATCAGAGCCACTAAATTATTAGACATAGCAGTAGAAAGCTTTTGGAGCTATTTCATAGATTATAGCTTTTAGTCATATAGTAATTTCTAAATGGTAAGCAAACATGGTATCTTGCCAGACTGATCATTTAGACTACTCATGCATGGAATTACTATTAAAGTCAAAGGTAATCTTCCTGAATTGATTTACTAATGACTTCTGGGGTTGAGTCATTACTGGTTACGAATCAATAGATCTTTTTCTGAAAAGTGTATCTGATGAAGAAATATCTCGAAGGTTTTGGTGTTTGCCACTTTTGTCACAAAGAATTCTATGAAAATTTAGCAGGTGTAAGAGTACTTCAAAGAGAAACAGAGAAGTCAGTCTGCCATTCTTTTTAGTAGTAACTTGAGTAATGCTTATCTAAATCTTTCTATGCAAGTTCAATAAAATTTATCACATACTTATGCAATGACACATGTTCCAGAGACAAATTCAAGTAGGTTTTAACCACATTATTAACCCACTAAGTGCCCAAGCCCTGACTGAATTCTGCCATCATCCTGGAGACTTGGTAGTGAGGGCTCAAGGTCATCTGTAATAGAGCAGCTACCTGGCCTTGATGCTATTTGACACAGGGTTGTTAGAGGAGCCCAGAGGGGGGACTCGGGGCTCTTTCATTCAGGAGCTGCATTTATCCTGAGCCACTCAGCTGTGTTCCCTGTCTGAGTTACACTGCATCCATGACTCTGCTTGCCATCTGTGTACCTTGCTGATCTGGACCAGGACACTGACCTGCAGCATCCCCACTTGACTTCAGATCTGCATCATCATTGTGAATTTGCCTGGCAATCCCCAGCTAGATAGCTGACCCTGGATACTGCTCTGCTCCTCTTTTGTCTGGCTATTTTGCTGCTGTGCCCTTGTCAGTGAGATCACTGCTCTGCCTTCCTTGCTGCCACCCTTAGCTCCTAGTTTGCTTTCCCTTACAGATTAGAAAGCTTTCAGTGTTCCCTGATGTTAACTCCTGTATTATGTCCTAATAATTTAAGATCCTCAACAGAGAACAGTCCTGCAATTGCATATTTTATGTGTATGCACAGTAATGAAATGCTTGATGCTTTCTCTGAAGAAGTATCCTTTGCCTCTTCCTAGATTACAGACATCTAAAATACATCGCATGGAAGATTAAGCCTTTGACTTTTATAAGTATTACATGTATGAATACATGCAAAAGATATAGATTGTGAGAGAGAAATTCATGATCAATAAGGACGGCTTCAGTGTATAAGTGGAGATCTTGCATATGGAGGAAAGTTAAGAACAGAAGGATGGATTTTTCAATGTCCACTGCAGAGGTAAGAATAAAATCCAGATTTCATGGATGTCAGTCAAAGTCTGTGGTCATCATAGAGTCCAGTCCTACCTGTGATCTGCTTATTGCTCAGTTATATAGGCAGAATAATACCTTTTCAGGGTTGGCAAAAATAGTTGACCTTCTGAAGTACAAAAGATGAGGAAAGAAAACCAGTGTATTTCAGCTAACATGACTCCACTGCTGAAGTAAAGCCAGCTGGAGGTAAGAAAAACCATGCTGAAGACAGGGATGAGACAGTGATTGATAGCCTTGTTCGAGAGACAGATGAGATCAGTCTGAAAGTTTCTGGCACAAATTGTGTTTCCTGCTGTTCAGGCAACTTAATTTTATTTAAGTCCATTTATGCCAGCTGGGTGTATCTTATTCTCTTCCCCCTCCATGTGCTGTAGTTTCATTCTTTTTTCCTACATAGCACCTCTACTTTTAGTAAAAAAACATAATTAAAAGACAGTTATTCACTTAACACATCTAGCTGACATTGCTTTAGTTTTCCCTTTTGTGTGCTCAGTAAAGAAAGTACAGCTTTATATGCTCTTTATTATGGTTCTACCTGGAGTTCCGTGATTCAGATATAGGCCAGTGTCAGTTTATTGACACTGGCCTGTGAAATATTTCCTGTTCTGTTATCTTTCATTCTCTAGCTTTCAGGGTCTGCATTCCCTGTGACTCTGAAGTTATATATAAGGCAGCAGTGGGACTGCTGCCCCCCATGTGCTGTACAGTAATGCATCAAGTATGCCATCATTAAGATAAATTATGTCCTTTTGTGGACGTTTGAGTCTGTATTTTTCAGTAGAAAAAAACCAGCTGTGCTTGAACTAGAATTTAGGATGGCACTTAAATGTTAGAAATAAATTGATTATTTACCATTGTTATTGCAAGGGATTTAGGAGGATTCAAGTTTGTCTTTTGTATAATGTGGTATTTCTGTTGTAATACTGAAGCAGAAATAAAATGACAGAAAAAGAAACAAGAAAAATATTACAGAATAGCAACAATTTTTATATTTTTTTATAGTTCAGATTTGAACTGTAAAGTTACAACATGCTGGTAAATCCGCAAAATTCTATCAAATCTGCTATGTTTTGCTAAATGTCACTGGCCCTATATCTGAGCTGCAGAATATAAGTGCTGAAATTATTTTTCAGTGGCAATGGCAGGAAAAAAAAGTGAACAAAATTCATGCTGTCACCTACTTTTTAAACATGCAGATTTTTATGTACAGTATCTTACACTCTGCATATGCAATGAGATTACATGTCTCTGAGTAGGAAAGGACTAGAAAGATCCTTACAGGTTACATTTCTATGATATACTGAGTGTATGAAATATGATCAACTGCTTTTCATAGAATCATAGAATCATAGAATCATAGAATCAACCAGGTGGGAATGGACCTCTGAGATCAAGTCCAACCCTTGATCCACCACCACCGTGGTTACTAGACCACTGCACTAAGTGCCACATCCAGTCTCATCTCAAACACCTCCAGGGATGGAGAATCCACCGCTTCCCTGGGCAGCCCATTACAACGCCTGATTACCCTCTCTGTAAAGAATTTCTTCCTAATATCTAACCAAAACCTCCCCTGGCAGAGCTTAAGACCATGCCCTCTTGTCTTACTGATAACTGCCTGGGAGAAGAGACCAATCCCCACCTGGCTACAACCTCCTTTCAGGGAGTTGTAGAGAGCGATGAGGTCTCCCTTAAGTCTCCTGCAGGCTGAACAACCCCAGCTCCCTCAGCTTCTCCTCATAGGACTTGTGCTCCAGTCCCCTCACCAGCCTTGTTGCTCTTCTCTGGACCTGCTGCAGCACCTTCCTGAACTGAGGGGCCCAGAACTGGACAAAGTACTCAAGCTGTGGCCTCATCAGCACTGGGTACAAGGGAAGAATCACTTCCCTGGACCTGTTAGCCACACTGTTCCTGATCCAGGCCAGGATGCCATTGGCCTTCTTGGCCACCTGGGTACACTGCTGGCTCTTGTTCAGTTTCCTGTCAATCTGAACTCCCAGGTCCCTTTCTGTCTGGCTGCTCTCCAGCCACTCTGTGCCCAGCCTGTAGCGCTGCGTGAGGTTGTTGTGGCCAAAGTGCAGGACCTGGCATTTGGCCTTGTTTAACCTCATCCCGTTGGAATCAGCCCAACTCTCCAGTTTGTCCAGGTCCCTCTGCAGAGCCCTCCTGCCTTCCAGCTGATCGACACTCCCCCCAACTTAGTGTCATCTGCAAATTTGCTAATGATACACTCAATCCCCTCATCTAAATCATCAATAAAGATATTAAACAGGACTGGGCCCAACACTGATCCCTGGGGTACACCACTAGTGACCGGTCGCCAACTGGATGCAGCACCGTTCACCACCACTCTCTGGGTCTGGCCCTCCAGCCAGTTCCTAATCCAGCAGAGAGTGCCCCTGTCCAAGCCGTGGGCTGCCAGCTTTCTCAGGAGTGTGCTGTGGGAGACAGTGTCAAAGGCTTTGCTGAAGTCCAGGTAGACCACATCCACAGCCTTCCCCTCTTCCACCAGGCGGGTCACCTGGTCATAAAAGGAGATCAGGTTGGTCAGACAGGACCTGCCCTTCCTAAATCCATGCTGGCTGGGTCTAACCTCTTGTCCTCTGTAAGTGCTGTGTCATTGCACTTAGGATGATCTGCTCCATAGCCTTGCCAGGCACTGAGGTCAGGCTGACAGGTCTGTAGTTTCCTGGGTCCTCCTTGCAGTCCTTTTTGTGGATGGGCATGATATTCGCCAACTTCCAATCATCTGGGACCTCCCCAGTGAGCCAGGACTGTTGGTAGATGATGGAGAGAGGCTTGGTGAGCTCTTCCGCCAGCTCCCTCATCACCCTAGAGTGGATCCCCTCTGGTCCCATAGATTTGTGGAGATCCAAGTGGCTCAGCAGGTCACTAACTGTTTCATCCTGGATTACAGGAGGGCTATTCAGCTTCTTATCTCTGTCTACAAGCTCCAGAAGCCAGCTGTCCTCAGGAGAACCTGTCTTACTGTTGAAAACTGAGGTAAAGAAGGTGTTAAACACCTCAGCCTTTTCCTCATCTTTGATAACTCTATTCCCGCCCATGTCCAATAAAGAATGGAGGTTTTCCTTGTCCCTCCTTTTGCTATTGATGGATCTGCAGAAGGACGTTTTGCTATCCTTCACAGAAGTGGCAAGATTAAGTTCAAGTTGTTCCTTCATCTCTCTAATTTTCTTTCTACACGACCTAACTATATTCCTAAACTCTTCCTGAGTAGCCATACTTTTGAAAGCATACCAAAGAAATTTAAAAACCCAAAATCATATCTTCACTTCTTGGTGAGGGGCATCAGTGGCCGCAAAAATGGGTAGAAGTCTAGTCACTTACACTTGCCTCTGTCCAAGGGTATTTTGGCAAGGGAGGAAAGGGAAACAGGGAATGAGAGGAACGAATGCTTTCATTCCTTTTATTTCTCTCTACTCCTTAGGCCAGCAGCATGACTTACTTATTCATTAGTATCTCAAATAATGGAAAGAGTAAGGGATAAGTGCGATCAAACGAACAGGATCTCTAATCCACAGGTGACTACACATGATCAGGGTTTGCACGTGACTGCATTCCTGTCATAGCCGCTATGTGCTTTCATTGCCTTTTCACCTACAGTTAGAGCATACTCTAGAAGGAAGACAAGCTTCTGCTGAAGTTTTGGTACAAATGGAAAGTTAGAGCAATTTCAAAGTTAAAAATTCTCACTACAGAACATTATAGGGTTATTGGAAAAACACATTATGGAAGTAATACAAAAAAATCCCTGCTCCTTTCTCAGAGAACAATAAATAACACATGATTCAATAGGCTAGTCCTTTATTATATTATGAATCTGTGAGACATATTAGTTTTCCAGCACACATTAAAGTCTGTGTGTGATGTTTGTATTATGAAAGTCTGTCTGAAAAATATCTGAGTTACAAAGTCACAGTGCTAACTTTGATGATTATCTCTAGATGTTCTAAAATACATTTTATTCTACCTCAACCCCACTTTCCCATATTTTCTTTAAATTTCCTAATATTTTACTTGCTTCCTTTTAGATGAATTCTTTTCCCTGTCCATGCTAGCTTTTATTTTTTAACTGGAGGAATAAATTGAGATTTTTGTCAGAATCGAGGCACTTATTAAAGATTTCAACAGGTGTGTATTTTAACATCTCTTGAATAAAACCAGTGTTTATGCACTTCCTGTTCTAAGACTTCCAATTTACTTTATCATGTACCTAATAGCCACAGTAACATTTTGAAAACTTTGCTTATCTACCTAAGAGTTGAAATTAGTTAACTGAGAGGGCAAGAACTGATGCTTGTTGGACTCCTCAGAGAAGAAGGAGTCCCCACTTTTGTGTACATTTCAATTCATTGTTCCAAATTAAGTTACATGAGAGGTGAACTTTTCATTTCCATGAAAGTTTTCTGCTGACGTGTGATACAGTAACATATAAGTGGACTTGTCAAAGGGATCCTCTTATACTTCAAGAAATTCTGAGATGCAGTATCAGGAAGATCTATTTGATGATGCATTTAATGGTAACTTTGGAAATATATTTCTTGTTTGAAATAAAAAAACATATTTCTAAGAAAACTGCATTTTTGTACGGACCATTGTATTATACACAGTAATAATTTTCGTTTCCAAAGTAATGATTGTACATTGACAAGTATCGGTGTCCAAGAACAATTCTGTTTTTGTACAAGATATTATCTACTAAGAAAAATGTTTAAAAGCAGAACCAAGGACATTCTTTTCCTTAGATATAAAAATTGTTAGAGGGGCAGAACAAAAGGCTATAGGATTTTCCCATGTTCCGCCAGCTGCCACATTAAGAGAAATGAACCAGAAATTCTATGAAATACTGTCAGAAAGTAAAACTTAATTGGGTATAAAAACGCAAGCAAATATTATTATCTCTGACATGTTGAACAGTCTCAAAGAACAATGACTACTACTTATACAACCTAAAGAAAACTGAATAGAAGAACTGCAAAAATAGTTGTTTTCTCACATGGTAACTTGCTCTTGATGAATTTAAAGAGCATTACAAATTTATTGCAGTTGGAACTTGATGATATTTAAGGTCCATTCCAACCCAAGACATTGTACAATTCTGTGATTCTGTGATTCTATTACAGAGGTGTTCTTGCATTGCATTTGTGGGCCAATAAGAAAAATAAAAAATGTTTTAAATTCTATAGTTTGCACATTTTGTTTTTACAGTCTGCAGAAAACTCATAGGAAATGGTAGAAAATAGCCAATACATAAACAAAACTAAAGAGCACCACATGTCAAATGTGGCTTAGTAAATGAGCAGTTGCCTTGATCTGTTTATACTTCTCTGTGTGAGGGATATTTAGCATTTGTCACAATACTTTCTCAGTCCTAGAAACTTACAAGCAGCTTTCTATGAATGATTAAATAACTTTAGGAAAAGAATTTCTGCCTTTTAACATTAAACTAAATCCAGGCATGTTATATATGAGGATTGGAAGCTACACCCATAGAAGTAAATTAAATGTTCCTGAGACCATTTGTTAGCACTGAGGACAATTGGCATAAGACACTATACACACATGCCATCAACATGGAAAACAGATGGCTGAATGCAAATTATCTGCTAAGGACAGTCACCTTGCCACGCTGACTCCGGAGTGGTGCTGGTTTGGGAGAGTGTTAGCTTGTTAGGCTGTAGGACAGATTTAAGAGCTTCTCAATGAACACAGTGAAGTTCCAGTATTGCGATCTGCTTATTTCCTAGTTCAGGCAGGTGCAGAGCTCTTCTCCCCACCAGCGTCCCTTCTTCCAACTGTCATTAAGGGAGAAAGAGCAAGCACTTATTCTTACGATGTATCTAATGCAGTGTCTTTCACAGGCTGATGATGCCATTCCATTTCCAGAATGGAAATCTGCCCCTCAACAGGTAAAATTTACAGCAGAATCCAGAAGATTTTTTTCGAGTGACCTGAGTCATTGTAAGGCCTCCTAAAACTTGCAGTGCTAATCCTAAAATTACTAAACCCTTCTATAGGGTCTGATCTATCAAAGCACTTAAGCAGGGACATAAACTCCAGAAAAAAATAATTAAAAGAGTACTCTCATTCATTTAAAAAAAAAGGGTCCTTTTGGATGAGGGTCTTGAAGGCATATGCTTAGATGAACAGAGTAAGGCTTGCAGTGGGATTCTTAATTTAAACTTTCATTTGCGGGAGAGAATAATAATTTTAGCAAGCCTTTAACATGTTTTTTCCTACTAAGTTATAAATTATGCAGCGTATAAAGTCTTGATTCTGTTAGACAGAAAGTAACTGAATAAATAACTTATATCTTTCTTCAGTTCTCAGCATTCATGTAGCCTAAACTGTCTAATTATAAAAATTCTTTTACCCTCTTTGAAGTCATTGATAAAATATTCCTGCAAGATTTAGAAGAGGAAAAATATAAGGTTTTAATTTTTCAGCAGAAAAGACATTAATTTTCTCTAGGTACAATGACTGTAAAAATACAATTCTGTTTCATCTTTAATACAAGGTAAGGAAGTAGAAAGTGGATTTTGTCCCTTAGCAAAGAACCTACTAATAATTAAATTACTGTCTTCTTGAAGGTATCAATTTGCTGTTTATTAATGCCAACACATGTTTTCAGACTTATATGATGTACCATACCAGAAGGGAGTTAATATGATTATAATTTGAATTTCTGCTGAAACTCGTCATATTACATTACATGAAATGCAGGTGAAAAGCTTTATTTAGTCAGGTGACATGAGAAAATAACAACATCATCTACCCAAATCTTTTTACTTTGAAAAATTCATTAATTAATACTTGACACCTAAAAGAATAATTTCCATTTGGTGTGTGAAGAAGCCTTTTCCGTCCTGCCTTCCTCCAGAATCTTCCAATACGCTACTGTGTTTCTGTTGCTAGATGTAGAAAGGTTTGTGAGAGATGAAGACACCACGTAAAGGCACAATACCCCCTTTCCCTAAGCCCTCTAGTTTCAAGGGGAGCAAAGAGATTGTGGTGGGCCTTTTGTGGTAAAATTACAAGAAAGCTGAAGGTTTCCACTACATACCTTAGAGAATTGCATGTGTCACAGGTTTTCCATCAGGGTCTATCAGTTGCCCATTCTAAATTTTGACTCTATGTACAAGGACAATTCAGTGGTATATAGAAGTTTGTCAATGGAACCAGCTCCACTTCTTTACATTCTCTTCACACTGCCAGGTCACAGCTGAAAGAAAGCATATTAATAGAGTTTCAGAGATATTCATTGGCATCTCTTTTCCAAGGCAGAAGGATCTGCTAAGACATTCATATTCTCCAGAGCCCAGTGTGATTCCATGACGCTAGGGTAGACATCAGCAAAACAGAAGGAAAATTCTGGGCTTCTGTGTCTAGGAAAAGACATGTAGAGTAATGGGCACAAGAGGAGAAACATAGTGTATAAGAAATATTTAGAAACTTCTTCGTATTGAGTCTATACAAGTAAAAAAAACAACTTTTATTATTGTTCTTTTCAAATTAGTCTTTACAAATGTCTTTAGAATATTTTTCTTCACGGTATTTTAGTATTCTTATATAATTCATCAGCTACATCAATTTCTTTTTGTTTCATGGCTCACTCCTTACTTTTCTGAGCTCAAACCACCAGATAGCAGAAACCTGCATTGGAGATGAGGCCTTTTCATAGACTTAAGCTCCAGTGCCATGAGGTACCCATTTTTCTGCAACATTTAGAGTTTTGAAATCAAATAAGCTGAAGTTTCCCTGAAACATTCCTCAGAAAAAACTTGTTGTTTATAATGGAAAATGCATCTCTGTATGTCTTCTGTGGTGCATTTTAGACTTTCCCAAAAAATTCTTTAGCAGAAGAAATTTAACTATTTCATGGAATGATATTTTGATATTGTATACATTATAATTGAACAAGGAGAGCATAGAAATAGTTTTAG